TCCTGTGGCAAGGGAAAGAAAAGCAAAAATAAACTTTTGGGACTGCATCAAAATAAAAAGCTTCTGCAAAGCAAAAGAAATAATAAAAAGAATAAAATGCAACCTATTGAATGTGAGAAGGTATTTAGAAATGACATATCTGATAAGGGGTTAGTATTCAAATATGACATAGCTGATAAGGGGTTAGTATCCAAATAAAGAACTTAAAAAGCTCAACACTCAAAAAACAAATAATCCAGTTAAAAAATCTTAGAAGACATGAGTAGACATTTTTAGGAAGACATACAGATGGCCAAGAGGCCTATGAAAAGATGCTCAACATCTCTGATCATCAGGGACATGCAAATCAGGACTACAATAAGATATCATTTTATGCCTCTGTGGATGGCTAAAATCAACATCACAAGAGACAACAGCTATTTTGAGGATGTGGAGAAAGGGGAACCCTCTTACACTGTTGGTGGGAATGCAGACTGGTGTAGCCACTGTGGAAAACAGCATGGAATTTTTTCCGAAATTTAAAAATAGAACTATGCTATGATTCAGCAATTGCACTACTAGATAATTACTGAAAGAATTCAAAAATACTAATTCAAATGTATATATGCACCTCTGTGTTTATAGTAGCATTTTCTACAATAGCCAAATTATGAAAATAGCCCAAGTGTCCATCGACTGAGGAATGGTTAAAGATATAGTATATATATATATATACAGTGAAAAATTAGCCATAAAAAAGAATGAAATCTTACCATTTGCAGTGACATGGATGGAGCTAGATAGTATTATGGTTAGTGAAAGAAGTCCATCAGAGAAGGACAAATACCACATAATTTCACTTGTGGAATTTAAGAAACAAAACACACAAGTAATAGGGAAAAAATTAGAGAGAGACACACTCACACACAAATCAAGAAATGGACTTTTAATTATAGAGAAGAGAGGATGGTTACCAGAGGGGAAGGAGGTGGGGCGGATGGATTACTTAGGTGGTGGGGATTAAGGAGTGCACTGTTTTGAGCACCTGGTATTGTATTGAAATGTTGAATTACCATGTTCTACATCTGAAAGTAATACAACACTAATGTTTTCTAATTGGAATTAAAATAAAAATAAATAAAAATATTTTGTAATATCAGAAGTAGAATCTCCAGTGCAAACCTGAAGTGTTCTTTTTAGAATATCATTGATTTTGATACTAACATTTCATATCAGAGTTAAGGGAATTTAATTATTAAACTGGCCCAAGGTATCTTTTGTTTTTTTGTGTAGTGTCTTAGAGTAATATAAGCACAGTCAGAGTGACACTTATTTCTATCCTAATGATTTTCAAATTAAGGAATGGCTTCAAATTTGGAAAGCTTTTTGTTAACCTAGCTTTGGAATGGCATGATGTATGCTAATTGCTACCTTTGCATTATTTTTTTAAAGATCAAATGGGCACAGTGGTAATTTTCATTAATCTCATACAGAGCAGCTAATTAAAATTTCCATTATTCTCTCTCCATTATCTAGTTGTTTCTTTTGTTCAGTATCAGGATAGCATGCTAATAATAAGTCATTCTTATATTACAGCCCTATTAAATATAGTGAGAATTAGTTTAATCTATTGCACTGTTTTGTTTTTACATGATTTCTTTAACATCATATTGCACTATATTGATTGTGCTGAAGATACTTTGGCATTTGTAATAGAGATTTCATAATTAAATATCTGGTTCTTTAATTTTTTATTCAACATTGGGAGAAAGTGACATATGGTGGGAAAAGAAGTAACCTGAGGACCAGAATATTAGTGTTTTTTTCTTGTAACCTCACTAATTAGGTGACCATGGACAGTTACCATGATTCTCCATTTCTGTAATGATGCTATTAGATCAGGTGATATTTAAGGGTCAGCTTGTCTTTTATAGGCTATTATGTTTTCTTAATCTTCAAATATGAATTATGTTAAAACCTGTGAAAGCTTGATAAAAGGTATTTGTTTTATAAGGTTATGTATTTTTTGTATTGCTCTACTAGATTGCTTCCAGTACTTATAACCACAAAGTATCCTAAATTATATAATTTATACCTGTTTCTAAGAGTTGGGGGAGGAGGGAGTCCCAGGGTATTGGGCTGGCCCAGTTTTTCCATGAGGAATAAATATCTCAGCCATGACCATACAGTAGAAGGGAACAAACATTTCTGAGCAGCTTACTTTGTCTATGAGACAACACAAACGAAATGCCTGTTTTGACCACTTTATATGTATGCATTGTCTCACTTAATCCTTATAATAAACATAAGGGGTCAGTGTCTGTTATCCTATATCATGAATGAGTAAACAGGATTATAGAGATTTGTTGAATAGTCTGATCAAAGATTACCTAGATGATAAGTGAAGGTGGCACAGTTCAAACCCAGTGACAGTTTGAGCTGTTCCTAAGATGCTGTACGCGGTCTCAATTTAACTATTCTACACTAGCATTTCTGAATATATGGTAATGGAACATCTCAGAACTGTAATATTGTGAAGCAAAACTAAACTGAGTTTTGAAGCTCCAGCATGTTTAAACTCATCAGATATTCACCCGTTTGTTTATTAACCATTCATTCATCTCTCCATCCATTCATTAAAGAAAGATGTTTTGAGGGGCATCTTAAAGAAAGATGTTTTCAGGGGCATCTGGATGTCTCGGATGGTTAAGCTGAGGTCTTGATCTCAGGGTTGTGAGTTTAAGCCCCATGCTAAAGTGCCCAGCACGGAGCCTACTTAAAAAAAGAAAAAAAAGAAATATGTTTTGAGTACTTACTGTGTCCCAAGCATTGTGTTAAGATCTGGAGATATAGTGGTGAACAAGGTTGGCGGGATTTCTGCCTCATAGAGCTTATGTTTTAATGAGGAAGACACAGTAAACAAGTACTAAACAATATAAGGTTACATTGAGCCAATACTATAAATGAGATTTAAAATGATGTGATGATGAATGTGGTGGGGAGAGGACTATTGGGCTGAGACTTAGATGATGAGTCAGGGATGGAGATATCAGGATTAAGAATCCTCCAGGCAGAGAAAGCAGCAAATAGAAAGGTCATTCTATAGTAATAAACTCATGTACAAGCCTCCAGGGAAGGATTGGTAGGGCCTTGTTATCCATTAATTAAGAAGATGAGTTTGAGGGTCAAATGAAAGTGGTCTGTGACTACAGACTTGCAACATTTTATACTATATATGTTTACTTGCTGTCATTCTTTGTGGATCTACAGCCTTAAGAGTTGGGTAAATAAGTTATAGAAATGTGGAAAAGATTTCATGGTGATGTTTTTACTTTGCCATCTATGTCGTGATTTATTCAGTAGAAGTCTTGAACATCTGTATATCCTAACAAATAAAAAAAAATCAAGTTAGTGTGCATTACACAAAATATGGGATCTAAAACTGTGAAGTTGTATTCCTTGTTCTGTAATTATTATGGTCAGATTCAATAATAGCACACTTAATTTTGAGGCTCACTGAATTGAATCACTGTGTTGGATACTTAGCATAGAGTTCTGAGTCTAGAAGAGTGATAGACACAAATAATGACCTTTGCCCCAGTGTCTTAAGTGTTATAATAGTGATAGTGCTGCAGCACTATAAGGGAATACAAGTCCCCTACATAAGACTTTATTAGACTTCAGGGGTGCTTGGGTGGCTCAGTTGGTTATGTGTCTGCCTTTGGCTCTGGTCATGATCCCAGGATCCTGGGATCGAGCCTCATGTCTGACTCCCTGCTCAATGGTCAGTCTACTTCTCCTCTGCCCTTCCGCCTGCTCATGCTGTCTGTCTGTCTGTCTCAAATAAATAAATAAAATCTAAAAAAAAGACTTCATCAGACTTCAAACACTATTCAATGGAATTAAAAAAATTTCAGACATTAAGAATGATTGTCAATTTTTATATTGAGGAGGCATTCTCGATAAAAGGCAAACACCATGAAACCCTATGTAATCCATTTCTCATTATTAACACATTGGGTTTGTTTTTTTTTTAATTCTGTATCCTCTAATGATGTGTCTTCTACCAAATTGAAAAAAAAATGCTTTCTTTATTCTAGCTTAGGTACTTAGAGAAACTGAGTGTGATTAGTATGAACTTGGAAAATGCAACTTAAACTAGAATTTTAATTCTGAGGAATATGTTTGTAATATACATAATCATAACTGTCCCATTTGTATATCTGTGAAACTGAGTTACTAGTACAATGAATGTATTGATGATGTTTTCCTCTCAGTCTTTTCCCCAAATTACTTACATAGTTATGGCAAGGTGATGAAGCTAAGGAGCTGTGATGAGATAATGAGTTTTAGAAATAACCCCATGTATATTGGAAAATAAGCTAAAAATTAGTCATTATCAGATAAATGCATTTAATGACTTTTTAAGATTAATCTACAACATGGGAGTAACATGGGAAGGAATAGTTGGGAATTAATGAATACTTTAGACTAATTTGATTAACATACTAAGTGGAGACTGTATTGTTTTACATTTTAATAACTGTTTTCACTAATTTTTTGAGGTAGGCTAATTCTCTGATATATTTCAACAGTTTTGGGTTATCTATAATGTTTTATATTAAATTTTGTTCACTGTATTTTGTGGTATAGAACATAAACATATTAACTAGGAAAATTAATAAGATGATTTATAAATGTTCATCCTGTGGGTTTAGGAGGGCCAGCTAATGTTAATGCTAGTGCCTGGATTGTAAATTTAAACATCCCTGTCAGTGACACTTAATCTCAAGTCCATAGTCTATTCTGGCAGTGTCATTTTCTTTTAAATGAGGATGAGGGGAGTGCTGAGATATATATAACATGATTTTACCATGTCAGTTCTATGAACAAGAATTTTTAAGTGCATAGCACTCTGCAAACATTTTTCTGCAGTAAAATATTTACATATTCTATGCATTATTTATTTTAAATGTTATTTTAAAACCTGTTGTTTGTCTAAAATGATATTTTTTTTATAGGGAGGGCTGAAAAACAGCAAACATGAATGCACCTTATCTTCACAAGAATATGTTCATGAATTACGATCTGGTATTTCAGATGAGAAACTTCTTAACTGCCTTGAATCTCTGAGGGTTTCTTTAACCAGCAATCCTGTCAGGTAGGTGGTTCTTATTATTTTGGTATGATTCTTGCAATTTGTACTGAATGTAGTTGTTAAGAATACAATCAGTTACGTCATTTTAACCTCAAGATTTTCTGAACAGCAGTCTGATATTAGCTAATAAAACAGCAATGTCTGACTATGAGGTTGTAAACATTTAAAAAATAGAGTTAATCTGATCTCTGAATAATGTGTAATGTTAAGAATACAGATATTACTTGGATGTTTAATTCCTCTTTTATTATATAATACATGGATCCAGAAGTTAAATATCCACATTTACTTGGCAGTTTGTTTGCACAGATAACAATTATTATATATTTATTTGTAAAACAAATTAAGTATATTGGCTCTGATATTATTCATTTTTGCTTGAGAAATAAATACAGTTTTATATTCTATAAGTTTTAGATATACTGTTCACATATTTTTGTAATTTGGGATAGCAAAAATTAAATTATTTTAACCAGTAAAAGGAATGAGAGAAAGTATTAATAAACTCCAGTAAAAGGAATGAGAGAAAGTATTAATAAACTCAAAGCTCTACACATTTAGGCTACTTTCTTTCTCTCTCTTTTTTTAAAAAAATTTTTTATTGTTATGTTAATCCCCATACATTACATCATTAGTTTTAGATGTAGTGTTCCATGATTCATTGTTTGTGCATAACACCCAGTGCTCCATGCAGAACATGCCCTCCTCAATACCCATCACCAGGCTAACCCATCCTCCCACCCCCCTCCCCTCTAGAACCCTCAGTTTGTTTTTCAGAGTCCATCATCTCTCATGGTTCGTCTACCCCTCCGATTTCCCCCCCTTCATTCTTCCCCTCCTGCTACATTCTTCTTCTTCTAATTTTATTTTTCCTTAACATATATTGCATTATTTGTTTCAGAGGTACAGATCTGAGATTCAACAGTCTTGCACAATTCACAGCGCTTACCAGAGCACATACCCTCCCCAGTGTCCATCACCCAGTCAGCCCATCCCTCCTACCCCACCCCCCACTCCAGCAACCCTCAGTTTGTTTCCTGCGATTAAGAATTCCTCCTATCAGTGAGGTCATATGATACATGTCTTTCTCTGACTTATTTCGCTCAGCATAATACCCTCCAGTTCCATCCATGTCATTGCAAATGGCAAGATCTCACTCCTTTTGATGGCTGCATAATATTCCATTGCATATATATACACCACATCTTCTTTATCCATTCATCTGTCGATGGACATCTTGGCTCTTTCCACAGTTTGGCTATTTTGGACATTGCTGCTATAAACATCGGGGTGCACGTACCCTTTCGGATCCCTACATTTGTATCTTTGGGGTAAATACCCAGTAGTGCAATTGCTGGGTCGTAGTGTAGCTCTATTTTCAACTTCTTGAGGAACCTCCATACTGTTTTCCAGAGTGGCTGCACCAGCTTGCATTCCCACCAACAGTGTAAGAGGGTTCCCCTTTCTCCGCATCCCCGCCAACGTCTGTCATTTCCTGACTTGTTAATTTTAGCCATTCTGACTGGTGCGAGGTGGTATCTCATTGAGGTTTTGATTTGGATTTCCCTGATGCCGAGCGATATTGAGCACTTTTTCATGTGTCTGTTGGCCATTTGGATTTATTTATTTATTTGAGAGAGAGAAACAAGTGGTGGGGAGGGGTAGAGGGAGAGAGAGAGAGAAGCAGACTCCCTGCTGAGCAGGAAGCCCAATGTAGGGCTTGATCCCAGGACCCGGAGATCTTGACCTGAGCTGAAGGCAGACGCTTAACCGACTGAGCCACCCAGGCGCCCCTAGGCTATTTTCTAACTACAGAGGATTTTTAAAGAAGTTCCTTGCCAGTGGTGGATTCCAATAACTGATGTTCTTTATTATCATAAAAAAACTTTTTAGGTTAATTATAACCAAAATGAAATGTTTTATGAGGAAAAATAGGTTTTCAATGTAATATGAAAATATTCTGGGTGATACTTATTTAAATTGCTGTAATCTTAAGTTCACAAATTACTGCATAGAAGTATACAGGAATGGTATTTTGGTTTTATTCATCTTTTTCCTAATATATAATGGAGCCCACAGTTTGTATTTCTCTGACCTATTGATAGAGCCTTGAAAATAATGTAGAGCTCATTTGAATTGATGTAGAGCTCATTTGAATTGATGTAGAAATTGAAATATATCATACTATTTATTTTTACATAGTACATTTGTCATAATAACTGAAAAATTATAATTCTATAGTTAAAAAAACTTAGAAAGGCAGTAGTAAGATGTGACTTACTTTTGAATATGATGATCATTCAAAGATGACTATCTTGTAATTACTTCTTGAATGCTTCTGGTTTTTATGATTTGAACAAGGATGTGAGTTGAGAACCGTAACCATTTTTGTGCTCCTCCCCATGTAAACCTACAGCTCTTTACATAGTGGACTTATGTGCTCTGAATATTTCTGTTGAGTGGTTGATATATGGGTGAATAAATGAAAATATTTAAGAAGTGAGTATAGAAAAAATTCTGGCATTTTGGAATGAAGGGAAGGGGTAGCTAGTAAAAATGTATTTTTATAAAGATGGCAAGAAAGGCTTGAAATTACATGCCGGGCCTTTAAAATACAGCCCAGCAACTACCAGACAACTCCAAAGAATTATGGGACCAGGTGAGAAACTGGTAGGTCCTGATTGGCTGGAGGCAGCAGCGTTCTGGTAGCTGATTGGCTCCACAGGTCACGGGAGGCTGCTTGCATCACCACACATGGAAGCTTCTGGTGGTAGCCCTCTGTAGAGGTCAGAGCCCACCTGAGGAACTCACTGACTAGAGGGAAAACCTACCTCCTAATCTCTCTGAGCTCTCCTTAAGGATGAGTAAGAATGGTTTTGTGAGCTATGGCAGCGTTTCTGCTGTGGGTGGAGCCATTGGAAGCAATGACCAACCATTTCAGGGTGGTGCAGCTCCTGCTACTAAGGCCCCAAGATCCAGGGTTCGAATCCAGGATATTATACCTTGTGTAAACAGCTGCTCATCTCCGCCCTGGTTGACAATGTCTTCAAGATTAGGGGAATTGAAGTTTTCCAGGTCTCTCTTGTGGGGATAACCAGAAAGGCAGAGTGGGCTTCCAGCTACATTCTTTACGGAATTGATGATAGGACCACCAAGCCTATTGAGGTCCGCCAGTGGCTCAGAAGGAATAAAGCAAAACAGAGGATGTCGCTTCTTCCAGTGGGAGTATATGTCAAAGTGATTGGTATCCTCAAATGTTTTAAGGAAGTAAAGGGCCTTGAAGTCTTGAATATCCGTGTCCTGGAGGACATGAATGAGTTCACCACACATATTCTGGAAACAGTGCACATATGATGTTGGATAAAGCCCACCAAGTGGCCTCTGGGCCCAGTGCAGCTGTTGTCCCATCAAAAATAGAAGAGGTCTGAAAGTATGGCGATTACTACCACCTTGACTTCATCCACAAGGAAGTTCAGCATTTGATCCGTCAGTGTCCTCAACAGGAAGGCGAAAGTGTGCATGAGCTCCAGACCCAGCTTCACAGCCTGAGCGACGGGGCCATCAAGCAAGCCCTTGAATATCTGACCATTGAGGGCTACTTTTACCCCGCTGTGGATGAAGAGCATTTTAAATCTGCTGATTGAAGCAATGAAAAGATTTTTCATTTTCCAAAGATCCTTGCCTCCATCTATGAGTGAGTTTAACCTGTTGACTTTTAGGAAGTAGATTTTTTTTCAACAAAATATCTCAGCTGGCATACTTTGGACCCTCACTGCTTTTCCAAATGCTTTGAACTTCTCTGTTTTTCTAACTGTATTTGAAGCTCAGAAGGAGATGGTGATGGAGAAATTGACTGGACTTTTTGTAGGATTTGCCAGCAAGCAAATGAAAACAGTCCTGGATGAATGAATTTGGGAGAGAAAAGGTACAGAAAAAAAATGGAAAATTGTTATTTGTTGTGTGGGAGCTTCTTTTTCTGAAATATCCATATATTAGGAGAATATAGAATAAGTCAAGGAACCAGTTAAGAGAGAAAAACAAAAATTCTATTGTTTTTACGTTAGACTTATTTTCTGTGTTTGGATTTAGCTTATAATCCTATTATCTCTTGCTAAATGTAGTAATTGGTTAATTTGAATGTGCTAAAGAGAGCAATTTATGAAGTGCTCAGTTCAATATTTATTGAGTGATTTGCTTTTATTACCATAGATTTATTTTTAAAAAATAAAATTATAGTATGTTTAACAGCTCTTATTACCACAGGTTTATGTTTTTTAAAAAAATACGATTATACTACCTTTAAATGCCAGCTCTTATTAACGTAAGTTTATGTTAAAAAATAATATTATGACTAAATAACAGTAAACATAGATTAAACTATGTTTAAGTATACTGTTTAAAAAATAAAATTATAGTATGTTTGAAAAATTTTTTCTTAAAATGTGATTAGGTTTAATGATTATTTCAAATATAATGTGGTGATATTTGGATTAAATTACAGTCCATTGTAGTTGCATGGTACATGGAAACCAGATTTTCTGTGAGTTTGATGTTCTGATGGATTCTGTATAGTACTAAATCCTCAGTTTTATGTATAACAAAGGTTTATTCTTACAGGTTAAGCAAACAAAAATTAATTATATGAATATTAAGCTTAGTTAAATAACTGAAATTTTATTTGAACATTTTATTAAAATACTTTTTCAAAAATCTTGACTCTCCTATGTGATTTTTGTCCTAATTTTACTTGAAAAGCCTCTTGTTTTGTTTTTAAAGATTAATAAGTTTAATTATCTAGAATAAATTTTTCTACTCAATATAATAACATATCTTTGTTGTAATAATACATTTTAGTTTGTATTAAATTAATTATGTGATACTTTTAAATAATTGAATAAAGTAAGCCCTCAGTTATATACATAAAGATGATATCTTTCTAGTTACTAGTTTTGTTACATTAGGAGAAAGAAAAGAAAAAGTATGTATATATATGTATTCATTTGGACGGGTAGAAAAGAAAAGCATCACTTGTTTTAACTTAATCACAGAAATGAAGTGTAAAACATTGAAAATCCCTTAAATACAGCATTCACAGTAATCCATACTGTCAGGAAAACTATCAGAATTTGGCCTGTCTTTGCCAACCCTTATGAATACTTGCCACCAATACTTGTTTAAGCTTTCTGAGCCATAAACTTAACTTTTCCTCCCCTCAGAAGCCCAGAATTCATAAATGACACTTTTTTGAAAACTACAAATAGTTAATATACCTGTTTGTTATTGAAATCATCAGATGTCTCTGCAAATTCTAGTCTTTATAAACATAAGGAATTCTGAACCAGTTTTGAAAGTTTGCCTGCCCTGAGGAAAATCACACTGGAGGAGAGGCAATGATGGTTGTATTTGTTCCTTAGCATTTCAGTGTGGAATGGTATAGTCTAGGAGGTGTGTGTGTGTGTGTGTGTGTGTGTATCTGTGTGTCTCTGTGTGTGTGTATTTGTGATATCACTTACACAATTGCAGGAACCCTGAAATCAGAATTCGAATTTTTATTTTATTTATTTATTGGAGAGGGAGAGAGTGAGCAGGCAGAGGGGTCAAGGGAGAGGGAGAAACAGAGACCACTGAGCAAGGAGCCCAATGTGGGGTTCAATCCCAGGACCCTGGGATCATGACCTGAGCTGAAGGCAGACGCTTAACCAGCTAAGCCACCCAGGCACCCTTCACAGTTCGATTTTTTTATGACTTTGTAGATCACTCTCCAAATTGTCTGAGTTGGTTCAAGTGGCCATTGGATGGGTAGCCACTTTTTCCTCTCTAGGAATATTCCTTCAGAATTAGGAAAACGGCAACCAGAAAAGGCCTTTCAGGCTGCCTTTAACTAATATGTTGTGATATGTACACCAAATTTAAGGGAGAACCAGCCTGTCTCCCTCTCCCATCCTTTTGGGTAACTGTCCTCTCTCTGTGTTCCTTGGGGTTCTTTCTAGCTTTGTTAATTGCCCTGCTGCCCTCCTTATTCTTCTGAGTGAAATTATGTGCTTTAGTGGGATTCTACTGCAGGTAAGAGACTGCAGTGAAAGAATAGTAGGGAAGTCTACCTATAATGTGAAAGGAAATCTAATATTTTTCAGTTGGATTATCTTATACATGCATTTGGGTAGCAGATTTTTATTTTTATTTATTTATTTATTGGTAGATTTTTAAAATCCATTTTAAACCTTCCAACATACTTCTTCCTTCCACTGCATACTTCCTTTTTAGTTTTGTTCAGAAGGTAAATGACTTGGCCAGTGTTCCCTTTCCTATCCAGTCCTGCCTTGTATGTGAACCAAACTTCTGAGGATAAGATACCAATCCTGGGGAAATATTGTCTGCTATTTTGGGCAGAGATATTTAAGCCTGAGGAAACTGAAGAATATAATTGACAATTATAATCCACTTAGGGTTGTTATTCTATGGCTTTAGGCATATGAAATGTATGCATTTATATTGAAATTGATTCTAATTTAATTGAATAAATTTGAAAATGTTTTCAAATCAAAGGTAATATTATTGCTGTTGTCATAATTGTTAATAATTTTATTTTACCTACTAAATTTAGATTTGTATTTTGAGTATAATTTGAGAAATATAAATTCTTGTATTTTTTTCAGTTTCTGTTTTCTTACTATATGATGAATCAAAAAAGGTTACCACCTCAAGACAGTATGGTACTGGCACAAAAACAGACACATAGATCAATAGAACAGAATAGAAAACCCAGAAATTAACCCACCATTAGATGGTCAATTAATCTTCAACAAAGCAGGAAAGAATATCCATTGGGAAAAAGACTGTCTCTTCAACAAATGGTGTTGGGAAAACTGGACAGCAACATGCAGTAGAATGAAACTGGACCACTTTCTTATACCATACAGAAAAATAAATTCAAAACGGATTAAAGACCTAAATGTGAGGCAGGAAACCATTAAAATCCTAAAGGACAACACAGGCAATAACCTCTTTGACATCAGCCATAGCTACTTCTTACTAGATATGTCTCCTGAGGTAAGGGAAACAAAAGCAAAAATGAACTATTGGGACTTCATCAAAATAAAAAACTTTTGCTCATCAGAGGAAACAGCAAAACTAAAAAGCAACCTATGTGGTGGGAGAAGGTATTTGCAAATGATGTATCTGATAAAGGGTTAGTATTCAAAATCTATAATGAATTTTTCAAACTCAACATCTGATAACCAAAGAATCCAGTTAAAAAATCAGTGGAAGACATGAATAGACATTTTTCCAAAGTAGGCATAGAAATGGAGGACAGACACATGAAAAGATGCTCAACATCACTGATCATCAGGGAAATAGAAATCAAAACTATAATGAGATATCACCTCATACCTGTCAGAATGGCTGAATAACAACATAGAAAACAAAAGGCATTGGTGAAGATGCAGAGAAAGGGAACCCTCTTACATTGTTGGTGGGAATTGCAAACTTGTACAGCCACTGTGGCAAACAGTATGGAGGTTGCTCAAAAAGTTAAAAATAGAACTACCCTATGATCCGCAATTGCCCTACCAGGTATTTACCCAAAGGATACAGAAATACTAATTGAAAGGACACAGGCCAGTGTTGCTAGAGGCAGAGAATGAAGTCTTGTGAATCATTTGGAGGACTTTGGCTTTTACTCTGAGTGAGCTGGGAAGATGCTAGAGGGTTTTGAAGAAAGTAATGGTATAACCTGACTTGTGTTTTTAAAGGCTATCTCTGGATGAAGCAGGGAGAACAAGTTACATGTTGCTGTAAGGGAGCTAGAAATCTCACAGGAATTCTAGGGACAGCAGTGTAGCTGTGTGTCATGCAGGCTGATATGGAAGGTCACTTGACATCCCACAGTAGTCCTAGAACCTGGTTATTTTTGTCATCTATCTCAAGTCAGCAGCAGAAATTCATGGCACATTAACTTAATTTGTTTTGTCAACATGGGCTCTCCATGAATCTGTGTCTTTTCCTGATATTAACTGCCTGGCCATGTCTGTATTACCCAGTTCATATTCCTAATGGGGAGTCTCTGGTCCCCATTTGTTTCTCCTTAGGCAAAGCTTTTCTTGTCAGGCCACCTCAGTATGCAGGCCAGACCATACTATGGTTAGGTTACCTTCTCTACTCCCATCAGTTTGCACATGGTAAAGGAGAGGGAGTCAGGGTGTATGGTCCAAAATTTGCTTTCCTAGGACTATTATCTCAGAAGGTAGTTGTGGGGAGTGCTCAACTAAGAAGCGGGTATGAGTTTGTCAGGTACCAGCCAGTACAGGAACTTTAAGGTGAGAAGGAAAGTTATTGCATGGAGATCTCCAGAAGATCAAGAATTATGTTTTATTCATCCTTTATGTTCAGCATTTAGCATTATTCCTTGTGGCATTACAAGTTGAGTAAAAGAGGAAAAGTAGCACACTGCCTCCAGGAAGTGCCTCTGGTATTCCTGTGTATACATATGTGTAGGTTTTAGAGAGAAGGGAAGGAAACAAGGAGTATCATTATCCTTACTTTTACTCTGACTGTTCTAAGAATTTTTTTTTTTTTAGTATTTCTTTTTTTTTTCAATTAAATTTTTTTTTATTCTTATGTTAATCCCTATACATTATATCATTAGTTTTAGATATAGTGTTCCATGATTCATTGTTTGTGCATAACACCCAGTGCTCCATGCAGAACGTGCCCTCCTCAATACCCATCACCAGGCTAACCCATCCTCCCACCCCCCTCCCCTCTAGAACCCTCAGTTTGTTTTTCAGAGTCCATCGTCTCTCATGGTTCGTCTACCCCTCCGATTCCCCCCCCTTCATTCTTCCCCTCTTACTACCTTCTTCTTTTTTTTTTTTTCTTAACATATATTGCATTATTTGTTTCAGAGGTACAGCTCTGAGATTCAACAGTCTTGCACAATTCACAACGCTTACCAGAGCACATACCCTCCCCAGTGTCTATCACCCAGTCCCCCCATCCCTCCCACCCCACCCCCCACTCCAGCAACCCTCAGTTTGTTTCCTGCGATTAAGAATTCCTCATATCAGTGAGGTCATATGATACATGTCTTTCTCTGTTTGACTTATTTCGCTCAACATAATACCCTCCAGTTCCATCCACGTCGTTGCAAATGGCAAGATCTCATTCCTTTTGATGGCTGCATAATATTCCATTGTATATATATACCACTTCTTCTTTATCCATTCATCTGTTGATGGACATCTTGGCTCTTTCCACAGTTTGGCTATTGTGGACATTGCTGCTATAAACATCGGGGTGCACGTACCCTTTCGGATCCCTACTTTTGTATCTTTGGGGTAAATACCCAGTAGTGCAATTGCTGGGTCTTATGGTAACTCTATTTTCAACTGTTTGAGGAACCTCCATACTGTTTTCCAGAGTGGCTGCACCAGCTTGCATTCCCACCAACAGTGTAGGAGGGTTCCCCTTTCTCCACATCCCCGCCAACATCTGTCGTTTCCTGACTTGTTAATTTTAGCCATTCTGACTGGTGTGAGGTGGTATCTCATTGAGGTTTTGATTTGGATTTCCCTGATGCCGAGCGATATTGAGCACTTTTTCATGTGTCTGTTGGCCATTTGGATGTCTTCTTTGGAAAAATGTCTGTTCATGTCTTCTGCCCATTTCTTGATTGGATTCTTTGTTCTTTGGGTGTTGAGTTTGATGAGTTCTTTATAGATTTTGGATACTAGCCCTTTATCTGATATGTCATTTGCAAATATCTTCTCCCATTCTGTCGGTTGTCTTTTGGTTTTGTTGACTGTTTCCTTTGCTTTGCAAAAGCTTTTTATCTTGATGAAGTCCCAATAGTTCATTTTTGCCCTTGCTTCCCTTGCCTTTGACGATGTTTCTAGGAAGAAGTTGCTTCGGCTGAGGTCAAAGAGGTTGCTGCCTGTGTTCTCCTTTAGGATTTTGATGGACTCCTTTCTCACATTGAGGTCTTTCAACAATTTGGAGTCTATTTTTGTGTGTGGTGTAAGGAAAGGGTCTACCTTCATTCTTCTGGTTGTGTCTGTCCAATTTTCCCAACACCATTTGTTGAAGAGACTGTCTTTTTTCCATTGGACATTCTTTCCTGCTTTGTCAAAGATGAGTTGACCATAGAGTTGAGGGTCCATTTTTGGGCTCTCTATTCTATTCCATTGATCTATGTGTCTGTTTTTGTGCCAGTACCATACTGTCTTGATGATGACAGCTTTGTAATAGAGCTGAAAGTCCGGAATTGTGATGCCGCCAGTTTTGCTTTTCTTTTTCAACATTCCTCTGGCTATGCGGGGTCTTTTCTGGTTCCATACAAATTTGAGGATTATTTGTTCCATTTCTTTGAAAAAAGTGGATGGTATTTTGATGGGGATTGCATTGAATGTGTAGATTGCTCTAGGTAGCATTGACATCTTCACAATATTTGTTCTTCCAATCCATGAGCATGGAACGTTTTTCCATTTCTTTGTGTCTTCCTCCATTTCTTTCATGAGTATTTTATAGTTTTCTGAGTACAGATCCTTTGTCTCTTTGTTAGATTTCTTCCTAGCTATCTTATGGTTTTGGGTGCACTTGTAAATGGGATCAACTACTTAATTTCTTTCTTCTGTCTTGTTGTTGGTGTATAGGAATGCCACTGACTTCTGTGCATTGATTTTCTATCCTGCCACTTTACTGAATTCCTGTATGAGTTCTAGCAGTTTTGGGGTGGAGTCTTTGGGGTTTTCCACATAAAGTATCATATCATCTGCAAAGAGTGAGAGTTTGACTTCTTCTTTGCCGATTTGGATGCCTTTGATTTCTTTTTGTTGTCTGATTGCTGTGGCTAGGACTTCCAATACTATGTTGAATAGCAGTGGTATAGTGGACATGCCTGCCGCGTTCCTGACCTTAGGGGGAAAGCTCTCAGTTTTTCCCCATTGAGAATAATATTTGCTGTAGGTTTTTCATAGATGGCTTTTATGATATTGAGGTATGTACCCTCTATGCCTATACTCTGAAGAGTTTTGATCAAGAAAGGATGCTGTATTTTGTCAAAAGCTTTTTCTGCAACTATTGAGAGGATCTTATGATTCTTGTTCTTTCTTTTGTTAATGTATTGTATCACGTTGATTGATTTGCGGATGTTGAACCAACCTTGCAGCCCAGGGATAAATCCTACTTGGTCGTGGTGAATAATCCTTTTAATGTACTGTTGGATCCTATTGGCTAGTATTTTGGTGAGAATTTTTGCATCCATGTTCATCAGGGATATTGGTCTGTAATTCTCCTTTTGGATGGGGTCTTTGTCTGGTTTTGGGATCAAGGTAATGCTGGCCTCATAAAATGAGTTTGGAAGTTTTCCTTCCATTTCCATTTTTTGGAACAGTTTCAGAAGAATAAGTATTAATTCTTCTTGAAATGTTTGGTAGAATTCCCCTGGGAAGCCATCTGGCCCTGGGCTTTTGTTTGTTGGGAGATTTTTGATGACTGCTTCACTTTCCTTAGTGGTTAT